TATTTATAGGAATTTATTATTATTATTATTATTATTATTTCTGATAGGAAATCGATACGACAAAATAAAAAAAAAAAAACGTAATTAATAAATAATAATAATAATATTATATAATTAGTAATAAAATTAAACAGGAAGTTATTCGATACGTTATTAATTAACTTATATCCGGTATTAATGGTGCTTCGTCTGCTACCGTAGTAGGTTCTTCGTTTGCTTCTTCGGCTTCTATTATTAAAGCATCGTCGTCTTCCTAACAAAAAAAAAAAAAAAAACGAATTTAAATTTTTTTTCTCGCCATTATTATTATTAGGGCTGACTGACTCGCGCGTACTCACCGCATTTATCACCGGACTCGTACACTCATATTGAAATGCATTTCTAGAAAGATCTACTTCGACGGGAAACAAACTGTTTTCTTTAAGGAGTTGTAAACTTTTCGAATAAAAATCTGCAAGGCCGGTGACCATTTTTTGTAATTGTATAACAATATCTTGTACGTGTTTGTTATCTAATAATTCTAATTTGACGAGTACGTCTGATCTTAAACGTGCAAATCTCGCTCTCGCTTCCTGTCTGCATCTTAATATCAACCTTCAAACAAAAAATGATAAATTTTTTTCTTCGGGAGGGGGGAGGGGGAGGGGAGGGGATTTTTTTAAATCCAACCGACCGATACTCGTAATTTCCCGTTTCCACGCGGTAGAGTGGTTCCTGTAATATCCCATAACTGTATTCTTCATCGTCCATTTCTTTTACTTTTAAACAATAGGATAGATATTCGAATTTTGTGTCAGCGTATTTATTTATTGTTAGTTTCGTATCCGGTATTGCTTTGTGTAGGTACGTGCCAAGATCCGATAACATCTATAAATAAATAAATAAAAAAAAAAAAAGGGCCGTAATCAATTTTTTTCTATTATTTGTTTATCTTTGAACGTATGTATTATTAATTTTAAAAGCTTTTAAAAAATTTTCTTGAGATTATTATCGTACATTGTACCGATGCGTGATTTTGATAACGTTATCTAAAAAAAAATTTATTTTTATTTTTACCCTAATCATTTTTTTTAAATCGAAAAAAAAAATGTTAAAAAATGTTTAAAAATTTTGTTTTATCACATTACTCACTGGTTTTACAGTTTTAAGCATTTGCAAACCGTATTTTTCCATTTGACGATGATAATCTCCAAATTGTCTAAATGCTTCGCTTGCTCTTGGTTGGGGTTCTCTTACACCGATTCCGGCAAAAGCATCACCGAAAGCTAAAATAATAATAATAATAATAATAATTTGTTTTAATTTGTTTTGCATTCGGCTTTGAGGAAAACATTGAATTTTTTTATTTTTTAGATAAACTCTCTCTGACCTTTGTAAACTTGTAGTAATTGAAAAAATGCTTTCATTACTCTTTTCGTATGTTCTACAAGACCTTGATACATCATTTCAGTGCTTTCCAATTCTTCTAGTTTTTTAACTAATGTATCATTGCAAAGAATTGCTCTGGATAATCCTAATGCATCAGCTGTTGCACTACTCATATTTTCAACCAAACGATGTTTTACTTTTTTCAATATTATATCTAATGTTTTACCTTGTTCTGGATCTGCATGAAGTTTATTGTACCTGATAATTACTTCATCCTTTTTTTTAAAAGAAAACATAAATGACATATTTTGTTATTAAAAAATTATTATTAATAAAAAATTTAATTTTTTTTCTTTTACTTTGCATGATTGAATCATTTTAGCAACTTCAACTTTTGTTTTTCCTTTGACAGATTGCCCATCGACTCCGACCAATTCATCGCCGCTTTGTAATGTGCCATCTTTAGCAACCGGAGTGTTATCGAAAACCTGAAGGAAAACGAAAAAGGATTAATGGTAAGTCATTTTCATTTAAATAACATATCGACACAAACAAATTGCTTTAGAAAAAGTAATTTATAGATTGATTGTGATGCATTAAAAAAACCATGGAAAATTTCACTGTGCAAAATAAAGCATTTAAATTTTTTTTTTTTATTCATCAATTGTTTAAAAAACGAATAGAATAAATTTACATATTATTGAATTAGTTATTAAGAAATTTAGGTGCATTTATCAATGAAAGAAAGAAATACAATTAAAATATGGTAAAGCAAAAAAAAAAAAAAAAAACAAAAACAAAAACACTGCCTGACAAGTTAAGAAAAAAAAGTAAGAAAATAAAAATTTCTGTAACCTTTTGTTAAATTTAATCAATATTATAGAATAATGGTCATTAAAATGATTTCGATAACATTTTATATTTGATTAAAACAATAATTGGTATGGTGTAACTTTAAAAAAACAAAAAATTGTTTTTAATGTAGTAAAAATAATGCAGGAAAAATTTTTTTTAGCTCTCTAAAAGCTTTGCATAAAGTTTTATTATACATAAACTGAACTTATAACCTTAAAAAGTGAAAGCGAGAAAAAATATTACAAAAACAAAAACATATTCATGCGAATAATTAATTTATTATTCATACTTGAACAATATATAAACAGGGGCATAAGGGTGCACCGCCACCAATACTGATACCGATCAAATTTGAATTATCTTTCTTGACAGTAACAGTTCCAGATGTAACGGTCATACCCCTGAAACATGTTAAATCGGTTGTTATGTCATTCAAATACGCATTTTATATTAATAATATCATATATTACGATGAAGCATTTTCATAATTTTTGTTAAAATAGATTAATTTGTTTTAAAAAAAAAAAATTTTGTTTAAATTGAATTTTTGTGCGAGTGAAGCTTAAAATTTTTTATTTTTAACAAAATTTATAAGGATTCGGTGCACATAATTAATTATTCATTAATTAAACTTACATAGTATCTTCTTCGAAAAAAAAATCATCATCTAATTGTAACATATTAATTATATGTATTTGAAAATTCTAAATATTTAATAACAATAATAAGCCTAAAATTATTAGATTGGAATCAAATAATAATAATAATCGTCATAAGTGTCAGCAGTGTTGCATTAGAACAAAAGTCTCAAAGGAAATTTGTCAAAGGTTTGCTAAAGTCTAAAGACCTTGGATTGAAATACTGTTGAGTAATGAAGTGATTAGAAGAAATAAGTTGTTGTTGTCGCATGACACTGAGTCATATTAACAAAAAAAAAAAAAAAAAACTTTAGTACGACGTAGATATTCATTGTGGCTAGTCCTTCTACGCCAGTGAGTGTAAAGGATAAAAAGAAAGCGTTACATATAAATTAAAACGTAATAATTTTCATTTTTGGAAATATTTTTTTTTGTACGAACATTTACAATGATGAAGAATATATTATTGGGTTTTTGTTTCGTCGGAGTGATTTTATCGGAAGGTGTTAATGGAAAATTACATTGTAAAGCAGCACAACCAGATATTCCACGTGATTGGATTACGATGGTTGATCCTTGCACGAAAAAAATGACAGAACAAATTCAAGAGGAATTAACGGCTGCCATGACCTATTTAGCAATGGGAGCTCATTTTTCAAAAGATACCATCAACAGACCCGGCATAGCCGAATACTTTTTCAAAAGTGCTTCGGAAGAAAGAGAACACGCAATTAAATTAATTGATTATTTGCTTATGAGAGGAGAATTAACTCACGACATTAAAAATTTAATTAAAGATCCTATGCCGGATAGAACCCATTGGGAAAATGGTCACGGTGCATTCAAACATGCACTCTCTTTGGAAAATCACGTAACGAACAAAATCAGAGATATAATTATTACATGTGAAACTCCAGTTAGTCCTCCGTTTAATGACTATCATTTGGTTGATTATTTGACTGGAGAATATTTGGATGAACAACACAAAGGCCAAAGAGAACTTGCTGGAATGATTTCCATTTTGGGTAAAATGTTAGATCACCATGGTACAATTGGTGAATTTTTATTCGATAAAAAATTATCAAGCAATGAATTATTTTAGTTAAATATTTTTGAAAGTATCCATATTTACATATATATATATTTTTTTAGCAGTGTCATTATGTATTATTAAAAAAAAAAAAAAATAATCAGTAATATTTTAGCAGTTTAAAAAAAAAATGGTTATTTAAATTTTTTTTTTTTTATTAATTTTGTATAAGGATGTACTGTATGCATTTACTGCCTGTGATTATTATTATTATTATTATTATTATTATTGTAAAATGAAAATTATATATAATTTTTATTTTTTTTTTTTTTACATTGTTGCAAATTTGTAAAATATATCTTTAAAAGAAAAAAGAAATTTCTCTTAATTTTTTTTTTTAAATTTTGATGGTAGAAATTTTACAGTATTTCCTTAAATGTCAAAAATTAATATCTTAGATAAATATTTATTTTGTTTTTGGAAAAGGAACAGGTATATTGATTTCAATTTAAATTTTTATAATTTTTTTTTTTTTATCGAAAAGGGTTTTAACGACTGAACATGTTATATCACATGTAATGTATCAAGTAAACATGTTAAAATTAATTTTACCTTTCTTTTTTAAACTAAGTATAAAAAAATAAATATATAGATTGTTGCATTTTTTTTTTTTTTTTTTTTCACTTCATTTTTATTTCCCTTTATTTATTTTTTTAAGTAAAAGCAACAAGTGTTTAAAATTAACTCTTGGAATGTATATAAATTTTATGAATTTATAATATTTGTTTATAATATTTTTTCATTTGATTGTTTAAATAAACAAAACGCGTTTGAAAATTATTAACAATGAATCATAATTATCAGAATAATTAAATATTTTGTCGTACATATAGACTTTGAACTAAGATTGTTCGATAAAACATGACTACTACTTTAATAAATTGAAGTTTTTGTTATAAGTATCAGGTTGGAAAATGATTTAAATTAATGTCTATAATAATTTTTTAAGAAATAATTTATGAATGAATTCCATTGAAATCAATTATAAATATTTCTAAGAAATTAAAGTTGTCGTAGGAAACTTTTTATCAGGTAAACATAATTCTTAAGAAATTTGATAATTGATTTATGGTACAGAAGCATTTACTCGTTAATCAATTAAAAAAAGGCTTTTCGAAGTGTTGAAATTCAAAATAAAATGCATGTATTGCATTTCAGTAAATTAATTATATTTGAAAAAATACTTATAAATAAATACATAATACTAAGTTAAAATATTTCTTTTGTGGAATTTATTAAAATCAGACTTAATTATTCTGTAGAAAAACCGAATACTTTTAATGTGCCTGCATCTCTTTTTCTGTCATATGCATCTTTGTCATCACATGCATATGCTAATAAATATTGTTTGGGATGCCAAGCAACTGTAAATGTTGCCGCTTCCACAGGTATATCAATAACTTTTTCACCTGTTTCTACTTCTCCTATGTCTATGAGTAAGTCTTCGGAAGCACTAGCCAATAATTTTCCATCATATGAAAATGATATAGTTCTTACTGGCCAATCCAATCTAGAAAATGTTCTTAAGCAAGCTAAATTTTCTACATCCCATAAAGAAACTAAAGCATCAGCTGATCCAGTCGCAAAATATTTCTTATTCGGATCAAACTCAATGCAAATGCAAGTACCTGGATGAGCTTTAAGTATGTGCTGTAGTTCTAAATCAGGATAACTTAAAATATGAACACAACCCTGACCGTTTGTTAAAAAAAATAAATCACTGTCCTTATTCCAAGATATTTCATTTACTTCAAAATGAAATTGTTCTTCAGCTAATATTTTATGTGTTCTGGCATCTATAAAAGTAACTAAATCTTCTTTATTGCCTACAGCAATTGTACCACCATCAGGAGCCCATGTTATGTTTATGTTTTCGCCTTTAGTTTCTACTATGGTTACACATTTTTGACTTCTTGCGTCCCAAATTCTAACGGTTTTATCTCCACTTGCAGTACTTAAGAGGTCTGGATGTGTAGCGTGCCAGCATAATTGATCAACACTGGCTCCGTGTCCTCGAAATGTGAAATCTTTATTTAGTTTTTCCCGATCTAATGTGCAAACAGAAACACACTTGTCAAATGAACCTGATGCCAATTTTTTGCCGTCGCAACTCCATCCCACAGAATGAACTTTTGAAGTGTGAACCGAAAGTTCTCGACTTTTATTGTGAGTTTTAAAATGATTTTGATAAACTTCTAATTTGCTGTAAAAAGCATTCATAGTATTCACAGGAGGGCTCATTTTTATAATTATTACTTTCAAACACCGGTAACTCTATGGTTAAAACAGAGCAATTTAATTTTTTGTCTATGGTTTATTGTAAAGCATCTTGTAGATGTGTTAAACTTTTAAACCGAATATTATTCGTTAGGTATTTAATATTTTTTTTTGTGGAAAAACTTTTATAATAAAAGGTTTTTATAATGTATGATGATTATGGAGACTCGGTAAGGAAAATATTCTTAGAGTATTTCTTTGAAAAACTCTAATATAAAAATAAAATCAGATTTTTAGGTTATGATTATGTATGGTCACATACTGAAAATCATGTTGTTTCTTTTTTTTCTCTCTCTCTCGTAAATTAAAATTTAAAAAAATTAAAACAGTCCTAATTTTTTTTAAATTATTTTATTTTAGGGATACGATTATGGGTATTCAACTCCCAACGATTATGATATTCATACGGGGGAACCACACAGCGACATTGAATACGATAGATCTTACGGTAAAATTCCCGACATGGTAAAAAAGTTTATACCATATTTCAGGGATGTTATTAATGAAGGAAATATTTTTGAAATACAAAATATTTACGAAAATTCTTTTCCCAAATTATCATTACAATATTTTGAAAATAGGCCTTGGCCAGATGAGCATGAAGTTGCTCCTCTCGTTGACAACGATACTGTAAGTATAAAAACTTTAAAAAATTATAATCATGATTTTTGCATAAATTTGTTATTTTTTACTAAAACATAAATTTTTTTTGTGTGCAGAATTTTCTAATTCTTTACAAGGAATTATATTACCGCCATATTTATGCCAGAAGTTCTTGTGACCCTACATGCAACAGAGATTTGGTTCTTTTTACAATTATTGTGACTTGTTTAATTATATTTTGGGTATGTATGTAATTTACTTAAAAAAACTTTTTTATAATTACATTCTTGTAAAGGGGTAATAATGTAAGTAATGTATTAGGAGAAAATAATGTAATGTTATTTTTCTTATTAGGTGCAAGTGGGCCAATCCCGTTAGAATTACCTGATCAATGGCTTTGGGAACTTGTCGATGAATTTGTTTATCAATTTCAATCATATGCACAATACAGAGCAAGATTATCAACTAAATCTCCAAGTGAAATTGAAACATTAAATCAAAAAAATGAAGTTTGGAATGTGTTATGTGTATTAAATGTACTTCATTCCCTCGTCGATAAATCCAACATCAAAAGGCAGCTCGAAGTAAATATCTTTTGGCAAATATTTTAAATTTTTTGATGAATGTATATTTACTTTTACAATAATTTTTAAAATAATAAATAATATCTCAGGTTTATGCCAGCGGAGGTGATCCAGATTCAGTTGCTGGAGATTTTGGAAGGCATTCTTTATACAAAATGCTCGGTTATTTCAGTCTTGTAGGGTTATTAAGACTTCATTCGATATTAGGTGATTACTATCAAGCGATAAAGGTTTTGGAAAATATTGAATTACATAATAAAAAGGTAAAATATTTTCATATAATGACATTTATTAATTAAATTGTGATGTAAAACACATTCAATTTTGATTTTCAGAGTCAGTATTCGCATGTTCCGGCTTGTCAGATATCAACTTCTTATTACGTTGGTTTTGCTTACTTAATGATGCGTCGATATTCGGATGCCATTAGGACGTTCAGTTCAATTCTTTTGTATATACAACGCACTAAACAACTCTTTCAAACCAGGACTTATCAAAATGATCAGGTTTGTATAAGTTCATCGAGTTTGTTTAAATGACAGATTCATTTTATCAGGCGAATTTTAAGTTTATTTTTTTTATATTTTTAGATAAATAAGCAAGCCGATCAAATGTATCATTTGCTTGCTATTTGTTTAGTATTACATCCTCAATGCGTAGATGAAAGCATACAACAAGTTTTAAGAGAAAAACAATATAATGAAAAAATGTATAAGATGCAATGCGGAGATTTAACCGTTCGTTGTTTTTAATTTTTAAATTGAATAATTTTTTTTTTTTTTTTTTTCTTATTAGTTTTTGTTTGAGTCGAAATAACAACAAGTTTTCATTGTAGGAATTCGAATCCTGTTTTGTATTCGCTTGTCCGAAATTTCTCTCTCCGTCTCCTCCTCCACCCGATGCACCCAATGAAGATTACGTCAAAGAAGCCATCAATCATCAAACTCATGTTTTCATGGAAGAAGTTTGTCAACAAAAAATGTTGCCCACAATCAGAAGGTTCGTTTAAACACCAAATGATTAAATTTTATTTACAATTAATTTAAACTAAATAATAAATAACTTTATTTTAGTTATTTGAAACTCTACACAACTCTACCGTTGTCAAAGCTTGCAAATTTTATGAGTCGTCAGGGAGAGAATAAATCCGAATTGGAAAAAGAAATTAAAACTCTGTGCATCCACCTTCTCTGTTTCAAACATAAAATGAAAAATGTCGTTTGGACAAAAGGAACATCGGGTTTAGATGGAAAATTTCAATCTGGATCTGAGGTATGAGTATCAATCGGAGTGGTGGTAATGGGAAAAAAAATAGCAAACGTTTTTTTTTTTTTTTAAATAATAATTTTATTGTCTTTTTTTTTTTTAGCTTGATTTTTACATCGATAACGATATGATTCATATAGCAGATACAAAGTAGCTCAACGTTACGGTGATTTCTTTTATAAGAAAAATATTAAAATTCGAAGAATTAAATCGAAAACTTCATGCGATTAAAATTTAAGACAATTTTTAATTAATTATTTTATTACGATCGATTTATATATTTATACATAACATATAAATACACACATATATATATATATTATCATTGTAATTTTTTTTTTTGATAATTTTACTCGTTACACAACAAAAGAAATGAAATTATTATTTTAAAACTTAACATTTATTAAGTTCTTTTAGATAAATGAATAACCGACAAATTTCCATATATATAATAAATGTTTAGTTTTAATATTAATTTTATTTATTCATCGAAATATATTTGCTATACTCATATACAAATTCAAAAATGTTTCACAAACTACATCTCCACACAAGTTTTTTTTTTTTTATAGTAAAAGGTAGTTGCTAAATTTATTTACAGGTGGCGCCAAACTAAAAAAAAAATTTTCAGGGCCCTAATATCGAGTTTCGTTAACGGTTCTTTTTAGTTGCGCGATTCGCGCTTTTATGTTTCATTAAATCAAAAGTAAAAATGAATCAATTTTCGTTTTTTAAGTTAAAATTTGTTATTAATTAATGTGAAAATATGATTTTAAAATAAGTGTTATTATCAGTTATTATTTTTAAATAGGAGGAAACCTTCTGCGGGTCAAAAACCTCCTTTCAAAATTTTTAAATAATTTCTGACAATTTTAGGCGTTTTTATATATATATATATAAAAGTCACGATTAAAAATTTTTTATATATTAATCACATTAACTAGATAACTTAAATCGTTTTTACTTTTGTTTTTTCATATATATTTTTTATTGTGAGAATCGTGAATTACATATATTTGAATATAAAAAAGAAAATCACCAAAAATTACAATGACCGTTATTTTTTTTGTTTGCAAAATTTTATTACCAAGTGAAAATGATATACATTCCTTTTTTTTTTTTAAAGTGAAAACTCAAAAGTTGTGTTGAAAATCGGTTTACATATATATATAAACCCATATTGTTACATTTATAATATATATTATTAATAATGATATTAATATCAAATTTGAAATATTGTAGTTAAATTAAAGTGGTAACGTCGTTTAAATAATAATTGTAATTATATAATGATTAACAAAAGTAATTAATTAATTAATTTTTAACAATTTTCATGTTTTTTATTTGTTGCGATTGAAAAAAAAAAAGAAAAACAGAAAAGAAAAGAAAAAAACAGAAAACAAATTCTTATAAGTAGTTAAGCATTTCAAGGTCACTTGTTTCTATATTTTTCCTCATGCCGCCATATTTAACGAAACAAATTTTATTTATTTATTTATTTTTTTTTTTTTTAAACGCGTTACAAAATTTTTTATTTTAATAATTTATAATAAATTAAAATCATTATTAATAATAATAATAATATTTATAATGTTAAGTGAAAAAATTAGTTGAATCGTTCCAAATAAAAATAAAAAAAAAATCGTGGAAATAACAAAATGGCGGACGATTATGCAAAGATTCCAACAGTTTCTGAAAGAAAACAAAGATGGCGACAATCGGTAAGTAAATTTAAACGATTATTAAATTAATTTTAATAAAATTATTAATTTTAATTTTAATTATTAATTGAAATGCCCATTATTATTATTATTATTATTACGTTTTTTTTTTAAAGCGTGAATGAATACAAATGAATGACAAAATTTAATAACTTAAAAAACCGGTTAAAAATTGTTGGCATAATACATATATATACATACATGCACATGCATACACATCACCACGCGCACACCTACATCACTCACGCACATACATATACATACATATTATTAAATGCCTAAATTGAAATTTTTGACAAATAATAATAATAATAATCTTTTTTTTAATTTTTTGAATGAAAAAAAAAAAAAAATTAATTTAGGCCGTTTTTTTTTTTTTTTAAATTTATTCAATAGTTTTAACAAAATAAAAAGTTAAACAAAAAATTTTTTTTTTTTTTCATTATTATCATTATTATTATTTTCATTCGATTTTAATTTTGAAATAATAATATTATTATTATTATAAAAAAAAAACAAAAACTCGATTTTGTTTTAATAATCGTATTTTATATATTTATTCAAATTAAATAACAAATAATTGAAATATTGAAATTATTATTATTATTTTTTTTTTAATTTTTAATTTTTTTTTTTTTTTTTTTAATTTTTAAGTTTTTTTTTATTATCAGTATTATTTCCCTCTCTCCCAAAAACAATTCCATATATGGAATTTATTTATTTATTTATTTTTTTAATATAATAATAATATCGGGAAAAATAATATATTTATTTAATTTTTCCGAAAAACCAGTTAGCATTATTATTATTATCATTTTAATAAAAAATTAATTAATTTTATTTATTAAATATATATATATATATATATATATATATATATATATATATAAACGAAAATAATAATGATAATAATGTTTTTAAATCAATTAAAAAAAAATTATAAAAAAAATTAAAATTTTTATTGTCAATCAAAAAAAATTTTTTTTTTTATTTCGCCAACTTTTTTTAATTCCCAATACGTAATAGTAATAATAATAATAATAATAGTAATTAAATTAAATTTTTAAAAAATTATTTATTTATTTTATTTTTTAATAACTGGTTTTTCGGTGTGACATACACACATGTATATATATATAAATTTTTTTTTATTTAATATTTTTTTTCCACGTAATAATTATCATACCTTATATAATTTATCATTATTATTATTTTTTTTTCTATTAAGACTTTATATATTTGATTGATCCATTTTTTTTTTTTTTTTTTTTTTTTTTTTTAAAATTAAATTTTACCCCGGGTTCCCTCTTTAATTTAAAAAAAAAAAAAAAAAAAAAAAAAAAAAACTTTTAA